TCTCTCTCTCTCTCTTTTTTTTTTCTCTCTCTCTCTCTCTCTCTCTCTCTCTCTCTCTCTCTCTATATATATATATATATATATATATATATATATATATATATATATATATATATATATATATAAACATATATCTGACTGTCTCTCTTTTTATCTCACTCTCCCTGCCTGTTTCTCCCTCTGCCTTTCTCTTTTTGTCTCTCTCGCCCTCTCTATCTCTCCCTAACACCAAGTAACTCATTGCGCTAGACATTACACCAGCGTCTCGTTCCTATACGTATATCAAACTGTGACGTGTGCGAGCACAGACCACTTGCCACTGACGGCCATGTTTATTCGCACTTTAACACAGACATTTCGACAACAAAATATTTCGGAAGAGCAAAATCGAGTATCTGTCAATCTCTGATGGATGAAAATGTCCAAGATACGGCTGTCTGTCACGTCTCCACGTGTGGGGGATGGGCGGAGGGGGGGGGGGAGGAAGTGACCTTAAAGAAGTTCAAACAGACAAGCAACACATAAAAAGGGGTAAAAAACAGGGTTTGTAAGAAATGACGTCATTCTACCGAATTTATGTTAACTGATGTTACTTTTGTTCAAAACCCAAAATATAAACTAAACAGCCCACCCCCCCCCCTCCCCTCTCCATCCAACCTTCAAACCGCACACCAGGCACACCATTTTACAGGAAGATCTGATGTTGTAATGCAGTGGTCGACAAATCGCGCCCTCGCGGGCCGCATGCGGCTCTTTAACGACCTGAGTGCGGCTCAGCCAGTTGGCCACAAATCGGTTTTGACTCCGAAAAAACAGGGTTCTTGACAAGAAATTTGGCTCTCAATAATTTGTTTAATCGTCCTGCGGCTGATTTTTTGGCTCTTTTGGCTCATGAGATTGCCGACCACTGCTCTAATATAAAATAATATGTGTTCCTACAAATATTGTACGGCAGATTGGGAGATAAATGGCTCATATATTTTTTTTATTGCATTACGCCTTCTCAAAACGCATATCTTAAACACTTCTACTAAACACACATCCCGCTTAACTCAGACGGTCACACCCCGTTAAACACAAAGCCTCAACTAAGCACATATTACACTTAACACACACACTCACTAAACACACACACCCCCACTAAACACACACACCCCCACTAAACACACACACACACCCACTAAACACACACACCCCCACTAAACACACACACCCCCACTAAACACACACAC